TACAAAAGTGGGGAGGGGGCAAACGATATGATATCCTCCCACTTTAAAAGGTGGGGGGATTTGTCCCCCCCCACCACTCCCCCCTTCCTCCAACGATTGACGAGATTGGAACCAGCCAGCCAGCCCCAGTAAGCTTGGTGATCAAGTGGTTAAGACATCTGCACTAGGAAGCAGAAGGTTGCTGGTGCCAGTCCCACTTGGGTAACTTGTGAGTTTAAAATTTTAGTTTTTCATTAGGGGGGGGTTGCTTTATTGTGTTTTCCTTTTTTTCAAAAACCTTTGGGAATTTCGCGTGCGTGTGGACTATACTTCAGAAAATTTGATAAAAATATTTTGTTAATCTAAAATAATTCTTAAGAAAGATAGGCAACATTTTCTGGAGCTTTAGCAAGTTTTTCGGGGCAACTGCACATGTTAGTCCGCTGTGTCTGGAAGCAGTTTGTCAAGGAAGATCACATTTCCATTCTGGCCCGTAACCATCCCGTGTCTTTGGTGAGCAACTCACCTTTGTTGCTTCAGCCAGGGAGACATCTCCCCAATGTTCCGTTGCAGCATCTTGGATAAATTCCTCAGAAACTCCCTGGTGTTGGTCTATTTGGTGGATAGCTGGTCCTCATACGGCTGGTTCCATGGTGGAGTCACTGTGTTGTTTAACCTGCAGATTGGGAAAGGATGAAAAATTGAGCTCAGTATTTCAGAGTCTTAACAAATTTTAGTAATAGTGAATGGTTCAACTGCTATCCTTTTTGAGATTTGGCAGACACAATATCAGGGTGCTAGTGGGTTTGGGTAAATTTGGGGTCAATACAAAATACTTGACCCAAACCAAATAGCACCAATATCCATGATATCCGAGTTTAGAACTGCAGTACATTTTTAATGGATGGTGGTTCGAATCCAGCCCAACCCTGCATTCTATCTCAATGTCTTCACCTCTCTTCTACTGCTCAGCTGTCCTCCTCCTTCCTCCTCTTAGCTTCTTGGGTGTTTCCATCAGAGTCCTCTTGGCTTCTCTTCAGCAATCAGCACTGTTACCAAACCGTCCCAAGCTAGCAGGCAAAGGTCCTCCGTATGGTTATCATCAATACTGCTGTTTTCTTCATTCTGAACTCATTGAACATTGCAGCTACAATTATTCTCATTGTGGGAGAGACTTATTCTATAAGTGTGCCTTCCCAGGCTGTTGAATATCTAAAACTTGCAGAAAAAGTACTTATTCTGAATATTTGCATACAAATCTTCCAACTTGTCAATAGCTCAATCAATTCCCTGGTCTACAGTGCCACAAATGCTGAGTATCGTGAAGCTGTAGTTGAGGCTTTCTCATTCCTGAAACTGTGCTGTCGTTGCTGCCCAAGACGGAATCCCAGCCGACCATCGCAGCCAGGGAAGCAGATTGAGCTTCGTGTGATTCCAAAGGCAGTAAATGACCAAGAGCACCGTGCTGCCAGGCCAAGCAGCAGCAAGCCACCAAGCCAAGGGCATGCACAACACACAGAGAGTCAGCAGTCACTGGACAGCTGTCAAGAACAATGTTCCAGGCAAAGCAGCAGCAAGGCATCTATGCACAGTCAGCAGCATGTTCAAGTGCATGTTGAGGTACATGCAGAACCAGCAGGGACCCCATCGCTTGCAAGTTCTCATCAGGAACAATGCTCTAGTCTGACTGACTGCAAGCCATCCATGCAAGGGGAACAGTGGTACATCCAGAACCAGCAGAGAGCCAGCAATCACTTGCAAGTACTCAGGAACAATGCTCTGGGCTGACTGGCACCGAGCCATCAGCACAAGGGCAGCAGTATGCACATCCAGAGCCAGAAGGGAGTCAATCGTTTGAAAGATGTCAAGAGGAATTTTCTCTGGTAACTGAGAGCGAGACGTAGGGCAGAGCAATGCAAGTGCACATGTGTGCTTTTGAACTGGCTGTATGTTCAAACTGTAGAGCAGTTTTAAGGCTTTTTCAAACCTTACTGTACATCTTCTTCATTGGAATGCCAAGTAGATTTGACGTCGAGAAACATTAACAACATAATATGCTGGAGTTGAAATGTGTTTTAATTTAGCAGATTGCCAATACATTTACGTACCATTACATCAGAAATATGCAGGCCCACATGAGAGATTGCAACCAACTATCAGTAAAGGGAACAGCTGGAACTCATTCAATGTGTGTATGCAAGTGGTTCAGAAATTACAAATTCCATATTGTTATTGTTGCTTGAATGAGGTTTTGTTGTATGTGCTTATATGAGGATATATCAATGTATATGTATCGGCACTCACATATGGATACCCCTCACGTTTTTCCAATGTAAATGTACTTTTTTTTTAAGTCCTTTGAAAAAGATTTTGAACTTTTAATTTAGCACCTCTGTATTTTCAGTCTCAGGATGTGTGCTTTTAAATATTTTTGATACTGATAAGTAACATATTCATGAGCAATACAGTGATGTCATGAGCTGGAACTTCAGTGCCACTGCTATTTGAGGACAAAAAGTTATAAAAGTGTTTTAGTTGAAGTTGACTGTTTTGTTCATTTAGCATGATCATGGCACAGAGTCAGTGAGATACTACAATGTACAAACTGCTATGTGTACATGCACAATGCAATGAATTTTTAGTTCATAAATTTCACAGAAAATCCCAAAGCTGTACAGTGTAAAATACCTATATTGACATCACAGCAACATAAGAAACAATTGTGAAAGTGCACAGGCATTGCAAAAAGTGCGCTTAAAAACGATAACAAGTATGCAGCTCATTTGCAACTACTTCACATGATTATTTTCATGTTTCAGTGAAATTCATGCCATGGCCCTTTAATTTGGTTAATCTATTTTTAAAGACCCTGAACAATCCCAACCATAGTTGGCAATATGAACTCTTGAAAAAGGGCAAACAGTATGATTATCGTTATCGAGGGTTCAATGTTAAGGGAGAAAACTCACCGCAAATCCAAAATGTCTTGGGAGGTTTTGGATCTCAATCTTGAAGATCTCTGAGGTGAAGCGCTGTTGTGTCAGATAGTGATAAGGATCCGTTATGGCAGCGCCAGTCACCGGTACGTCAGAGGTGCTGGTGGAATGGTTATCTTGTGGGTCAAGACGTGATAGACAAATGAACAGATTAAAAAACAAACTCTAATCAAAGAAAAAAATAGATTGAATCGCTATTTTTTAGCATTAGGTATGTTTAAGTGTAATATGAGCTTGCAAGTGAGATGTCTATGGCTATTGTATGGGTCTTCACCCATTACAATTACATGGGAACAATAGCCGTAGCCATAGCTCTAGAAGCCCGTTTCAGACACAGCCTAAGTAACAGACAACACAAGTTGCAAGTTATGCATTAGGAGCATCTGATTCCAAATACGTTATACCAATCTTTGTGCATATATGTAGCACAACATGGAAAATATATTCTCAAGACCAAATTAAGTGCAGACCTTTCGTTCAAAGTTTCTGCAAAAACAATTATCAAGGAAAAATCTATTAACCATATGTTTGATCTGCACAGCACCTATGAGACCATTGCAGGCTTTAGATGTACAGTATGGGATTTAATCTGCTTTCTTCATAGCTTCTACATGTAAAGTAGCTGTAAAAATGTAGTTGATATATAAAGTTGAAGTCAGCAATTTGTACTCCACTTCTGTCAATAGAGCATGTAAGTTGATCGAAAAAAACCTCAGTTCAAGATTTTATGTGAAAACGCTACATTCGAGTATGGCACCATATATTAAAGGACCTACAACGTGTGTAACATCCTATTGTTTGCATTGTTTTGTGTTCTGACTAGGTTTATCCAGTCAAGGGCAATCCATGGGTTCTGAAAAAGAAAAGAATCATTCCAATTTTCAACACATTCAAAACATTGCCAATTGATTAGGTCTACTATAATAAATTGAAAAAATGTTGACTTCCGTTCAATCGATTACTATTGGGCAAATTCAAACACGGAAATCTGTGACTAGACTAGTCAGTGTTTGGTGCCAAGACGTTTACATGAAAAGTGAATGTGAACTGGCGAGACTTGCATGCTCTATAATTGTACATTGACTATGTAGCACCAGAAGTCTGTTGTATTACATTTATGAGCTCCATGGCTGTATGATGTTTAAATGCAAAGCAATATTTTACAATTCTTTCAGATGGACTCAAATTTACTTAAAATTTGGAAAATTGAAAAATCAATGCTATAAAATATGAATGTCTTTGTAAAGTTAGCATATGTCTTTGTAAAGTTAGCATCAGACAAGATTGTATATACATGTATCTTAATTTGGACAGTATCCAAGGAATTGCTGCTTTCTACATGTTCATTAAAGCTGCTATTTCCTTGTGTACTTCAACCCTCTAAACACACCTAATACAGCAATGTACTATCACCCAATGGGTGTTAGAGCTCTTATGTCTTTCTGATACCCAGTAATATTTGATTGTTGGTTTTGTTGGCCGACGGCAGGATGCAAACCATGTTTCTAAAAGTCACATCCTTTTATAGGACAAACAAATTTGCTTGTAAAAGCAAGATTTGTTATAAATTAAATGTGCATGTACATTAGCAACATTCAATTAAGCAGTGATTTTTCTCAATTTTGTAACCTCAATCTTGCTTGTAATTTTTGAAAATCCCTATTGAGTAAAAGAGCTTGCTGGTCAATTTTGAAAGTACAAATATACACTCTTAATATTCATGCCACAAAAGTAAGCCAACATATTGTTTAGAAAAGGGATTTTCCTGACGAGGGTTAAAATCTTTTGTGGCTTGTTTCTTTTCAATAATTAAATCCTGACAGATAGATTAGACAATGCCCAATATGTGCATCTGTCAATCTTTCTGTATGCTGCACTCTGATTGGATGGTAACTTATCAAGTCCTTTGTGCGTAATAAATCAGCGTTATCTACTAATAGGCCACACCCCTCGACAGCCCATCCAATCAAACATAAAAGCTGATCTACGTCTTTTGCAAAAGGAAACTTAAGTGGAAATACTTACCTTTGTAAGCGCCAAGCCGGAAACCAACAGTGTTATCTGTCAATGAAAATAATAAGACGTGAAACTGAAATGTTTGCACAATTTATCCAGGGCAAATTCATGAAGACCTGATCTTTTATGACAAGAAATTATGGGAATAACTAAAAAAATTCCTGAAACTTTCTGTTGCGGTGATCATGACAGGCACATGACATGCACATCTACATGTGTGCACACTTAATGTCCATTCTAGGCAATGTGCACTTTTAACTTAATGAATTATTGCCTAGAGCACCAATACCAGAGGCTAGGGTGCTCCAGCTATCTTTAAAAAAAAAAGGAACAAAACAGAAAAGTAACTCTATGATTTGAAATGTTACTTTCATTGAAGAGTGCCTACTACTTCAACGTCATGTTCAAAGAATTAAATGATCAGCATTTTTTGTCAACACGTGATGATCCCATTGCAAATCCCTCCCCCCCCCCCCCACGTACCTCTGGTCAAAACACGCAAGGAGGCGGAATAAATCCCCCACCTGGGGCATGCCGTGATTTTGGATTCTAGATGCTCCGTGGTGCAATCTGAGGCAATTTCTGACCATTTATGTTTTTGAGCAAAAGATCATAATTTAAACCTCATTTCGAGTTTGCAGTAATTGAATCAGCTATTATGAGCTATAGAATCATATGTAGGCTACAAAAAGTGGAGGGGGGGGGGGCAAACGATGATATCCCCCCACTTTAAAAGGTGGGGGGATTTGTCCCCCCCCCCCCACCACTCCCCCCTTCCTCGACCGATTGACGAAATTGGAACCAGCCAGCCAACCCTAGCAAGCTTGGTGCTCAAGTAGTTAAGACATCTGCACTAGGAAGCAGAAGGTTCAGGTGCAAGTCCCACCTGGGTAACTTATGAGTTAAAATTTTTATTTTTTTTTCATTTGGGGGGGGGGGGGTGCTTTATTCTATTTTTCTTTTTTCAAAAACCTTTGGGAATTTTGCGTGCATGTGGACTTTACTGCAGAAAATTTGATAATTTTTTTTTGTTAATCTAAAATATTTCTTAAGAAAGATAGGCAACATTTTCTGGAGCTGTAACAAGTTTTTCTGGGCAACCGCACATGTTAGTCGGCTGTGTCTGGAAGCAGTTTGTCAAGGAAGATCACATTTCCATTCTGGCCCACAACCATCCCGTGTCTTTGGTGAGTAGCTCACCTTTGTTGCTTCAGCCAGGGAGACATCTCCCCAATGTTCCGTTGCAGCATCTTGGATAAATTCCTCAGAAACTCCCTGGTGTTGGTCTGTTTGGTGGATAGCTGGTCCTCATATGGCTGGTTCCATAGTGGAGTCACTGCATTGTTTAACCTGCAGATTGGAAAAAAGGATGAACAAGTTGCGCTCAATATTTCAGAGTCTGAACCAATTTTTTAAAATAGTGAATAGCTCAACTGTTATAAGCTTTTTCTAGGTTACGGCAGACACAATAAGAGGTGCTATTTGATTTGGGCAAATTTGGGGTAAAACCAAATGACTTAACCTGAACCAAATAACACTGTCGTATTATGTCCACCATACCTCAAAAGGGCAATGGATTGTTTGTGATCTACATACAACCATTCTCATAACCTCAGTCCATAGTTGGTTGGCTTTTCTTTTGCAAAAGTAGTGCGAAACTCCTCTCCCGAGACGGGTGGTTTGAGGTTAGAGTTTCCTTCTCTTAGGAGGGCTGCCTTGAGTTCCCAGGTTTACGAGCCCCTCCTGCCCAGGACTATTTAACCCATAGCTGGGGCAGTGGTTGTACATGTACCGGTACATTAATTGACCTATCACCGTTTGCGAGTTAACCACGCCCCTTAGACAACCCTATGGAGTTTTTGTACACTGAGTTTTGTTTGTCTTAGATTTTGCGCGTTCCGCATCCATTTGTATATCATGTAATTGGACAATATTTCACACGCTGCGTTGTCGCGACTCTAATGCAATTCTACCGCGATAGGTCAATTAACTTTTGAATCCATCAAAATACAAAATACGCATGTAAAATACCAGGGGCTGGGATTTTTTTCAGTGGATTTGGGGGTGGAATGGATTAAAAAACAGCGTTGCACCATCTTGAGGAAAACACACACACACAAACAAAAAACATGTACCGAGCAGAAACAAAAAGTGGCAAATTTATGATGTCATTATAGTGAAACGAAAGATGTCATTATAGTGAAACAGTGTTGACTGTTTTTGGTTACACTGCTGTCAAAATACTGGACAAAATTATCCTTGAATACCTTATAGATAAAAGGCAAAGCTGGGACAAAATATGAAGAAGCTTTTAGTTTCAACTACACATTGCTCAAGGTCTTATATTCTCGGTTAGTATAAAACCGGAGTCATCTTGAAATGGGACAGACTACATGTACCAATAATGCATCCATTTGGAATGTTGCAAATAGTTGTTACACTGTACATGAACTATGGGTGATGGCTACCAAAACAGCTCCACTCCATCAACTGAAGTACAAAAGCATCTTGGCAACTATTACAAGAGTCGAGATAGAAGTCAACAAATAATATGGTTAAGTGCTGAAATCATTGCACCAATCGGCCTCCTCATCAACTTTGTCTTTCTCTTCACAGTCATTCGAGTGAAGTCCATGCGTACAATCATCAACATCTACTTATCCAATCTGGCTGTGGCTGACTCGCTTTTCCTTACGACTGACTTTGTAGTTGCATTGTTTATTTCACCAATAGAGTACAGCATCTTTGTCCAAAATGCGATCCTAGCTTTACGATCCACGTTCATAGCTGCTTCTAATTTCTTTGTGGTTACCATAGCAGCTGAGAGATTCTCTGCAGTGCACAATCCTCTGACATTCAGGGAAAAAGCCTCTAAATCTCGAGCAGCAAAGATATCAGCAGGACTATGGGTGCCAACAATTATTGTTGGAGTGATTCTGATATTCTTACCAATAACAGACTACGTCTTCAGTGCCATCATCTTTTTGGCCCGTTTCATTATCAACATTGTCTGTTTAATAGCAACAATACTTTTGTACATCTATGTAGTAGTGAAAGTACGCAAGCAATCAGCCCTGCTGCCAAACCGTCCCAAGCAAACAGGCAAGGTCCTCCGTATGGTTATCATCAATACTGCTGTTTTCTTCATTCTGAACTCACTGGACATTGCAGCTTCAATTATTGTCATTGTGGGAAAGACTTATTCTATAAGTGTGCCTTCCCAGGCTGTTGAATTTCTAGAACTTGGAGAAAAAGTACATACATGTATTCTGAGCAGTTGCATAGCAATTTTCCAACTTATCAATAGCTCCATCAATTCCCTGGTCTACAGTGCCACAAACGCTGACTATCGTGAAGCTGTAGTCAAGGCTTTTTCATTCCTGAAACTGTGCTGTCATTGCTGCCCAAGACGGAATCCTAGCCGACCATCGCAGCCAGGGAAGCAGATTGAGCTTCGTGTGATTCCACAGGCAGAAAATGACCAAGAGCACCGTGCTGCCAGGCCAAGCAGCAGAAAGCCACCAAGCCAAGGGCATGCACAACACACAGAGAGTCAGCAGTCACTGGACAGCTGTCAAGAACAATGTTCTAGGCAAAGCAGCAGCAAGGCATCCATGCACAGTCAGCAGCATGTTCAAGTGCATGTTGAGGTACATGCAGAACCAGCGGGGACCCCAGCGCTTGCAAGTTCTCATCAGGAACAATGCTCTAGTCCGACTGACTGCAAGCCATCCATGCAAGGGGAACAGTGTGTACATCCAGAACCAGCAGAGAGCCAGCAGTCACTTGCAAGTACTCAGGAACAAAGGCCTGGGCCGACTGGTACCGAGCCATCAGCACGAGGGCAGCAGTATGCACATCCAGAGCCAGAAGGGAGTCAATCGTTGGAAAGTTGTCAAGAACAAAGTTCTCTGGTAATTGAGTTTGAGACGTCCAAGTGAGGGGAGCACATGTGTGCTTTTAAACTGCTATGGGATGTTCAAACTGTAGTGCAGTTTTAAGGCCTTTTCATACCTGTACTGTACATTTTCTTCATTGGAAAGCCAAATAGATTTGACGTCGAGAAACATTAACAGCATAATATGGTGGAGTTGAAATGTGTTTTACTTTAGTGGACTGACAATAAATGTACGTACCATGACTTCATTAATGTGCAGGCCCAGAGCAGATTGCAACCAACTATCAGCTGATCAGTGAAGGGAACAGCTGCAACTCATTCAATGTATGTATGCAAGTGGTTCAGAAATTACAAATCGCATTACGTTAATTGCTAATTGAATGAGGATTTTGTGTGTGTCTAAATGAGCAAATTTGTTTGTTTTCTGTGAGAACAAAATACGTAAACATGTATTGGCACTGGATAACCATGACATTTTTCACTTTAAAAATACTTTTTTAAGTGCCTTTGAAACAGATTTTGAGGTTTTTATTTTGAGACATGCACCTCTTAATAAGCTTTGAGGATGTTTCAGGCTTTTAAATATTTTCATGAAAGTGCCAAGTTCCATATATTCATGAGCAATACAGTGATGTCATGAGCTGGAACTTCAGTGTCACTGCTGTTTGACGACAAAAAGATACAAAAGTGTTTCGGTGGAGGTTGACTGTATTTAGCATGATCGTGGCACAGGGTCATAATGCACAAAGTGCTATGTGTGCATGCACAATGCAATGAATTTTGGGTTCATAAATTTCACAGAAAATCCCAAAGCTGTACAGTGTAAAATACCTATATTGACATCACAGCAACATAAGAAACAATTGTGAAAGTGCACAGGCACTGCAAAAAGTATACAGCTGTTTACCATCATATGATTATTTTCATATTTTGCGGAAGTTCGTTCCATAGCCCTTTAATTTGGTTAATCTATTTTTAAAGAGCCTGAAAAATCCCAACCATGGTTGGCAATATGAACTCTTGAAAAAGGGCAAACTGTATGATTATTGTTATCGAGGGTTCAATGTTCAGGGAGAAAACTCACCGCAAATCCAATATGTCTTGGGAGGTTTTGGATCTCAATCTTGAAGATCTCTGAGGTGGAGTGCTGTTGCATCAGATAGTGATAAGGAGGTTCAGTGTTCAGGGAGAAAACTCACCGCAAATCCAAAATCTCTTAGGAGGTTTGGGATCTCAATCTTGAAGATCTCTGAGGTGAAGTGCTGTTGCATCAGATAGTGATTAAGGATCCGTTGTGGGACAAGACAATGATGTACAAATGAACAGATTAGAAAAAGACCAACTCCAATTAGAGAAGAAAATAGACTGAATTTTGAGCATTAGGTATGTTTAAGTGTAATACAAATGTATGAGCTTGCAAGTGAGATGTCTATGGTTATTGTCTGGGTCTTCACCCATTACAATTACATGGGAACAATAGCCGTAGCCATAGCTCTAGAAGCCCATTTCAGTCAGTCTAAGTATTAGACAACACATAGTTGCAAGTTATGGATAAAGAGCATCTGATTCCAAATACATTGTAGCAATCTTTGTGAATACATGTAGCACAACATGGAACATATTTTCTGAAGACCAAATTAAGTGCAGACCTTTCGTTCAAAATTTGTTGAAAAAAAATATTGAGGAAAAATCTATGAAATATATGGGATGTTTTTTATGCAGAGCACAGACAAATGTTGACCTCTACTTCCGTTCAATCCATTATGCTGACAACTATTGGGTAAATTCAGTGTTTAGTAACAAGAAGTTCACACGAAAAGTGAATGTGATCTGGCGAGACTTGCACGCTCTAGAATTGTACATAAACTGTGTAGCATCAGTATTATGAGCTCCATGTCTGCATGATGTTTAAATTTTAAGCAATATTCTAATATTTCTTTTAGATTGACTCAAGGGTCCTAAAAATTTTGACAAATGAAAAATCAATGCTGTAAAATATGAAGGTCTTTGTACAGTTAGCGCAGACAAGGTTGTATATATGTACCGTACCTTAATTTCGACAGTATCCAAGGAATTGCTGCTTTCTACATGTTCATTAAAGCTGCTATTTCCTATGTAATATAACACTCTAAACACACCTAATACAAAATAATAAAAGGTTTGCGGAAACACCATGTGTGAATAATTTCTCAACTAAGAGAATGGTTCTGAAAAGAACAAAGGTATAAACTCGACGTTCCGGTCAGTATGCTCTGACCGTCTTCAGGAGAGACGGTCAGAGCATACTGACCGGAACGTCGAGTTTATACCTCTGGTTCTTTTCAGAACCATTCTCTTAGTTGAGAAATTATTCGCACATGGTGTTTCCGCAAACCTTCCATTATTTAGTATCTCCACCATGCAAAGCCTCAAATCTTACACACCTAATACAGCAATGTACTATCATCCAATCGGTGTTTGAGCTCTTTTGTCTTTCTGATACCTAGTAATATTTGATTGTTGGTTTTGTTGGCCGGCAGCAGGATGCAAACCATGTTTCTAAAAGTCACATCCTTTTATAAGACAACAAATTTGCTTGTAAAAGCAAGATCAGTGATAAATTAAATGTGCATGTACACTAGCAACATTTAATGAAGCAGTGATTTTCCTGAATTTTGAAACCTTAATCTCGGTTGTAATTGTTGAAAAATCCCTATTGAGTAAAAGAGCTTGCTGGTCAATTTTGAAAGTACAAATATACACTCTTAATATTCATGCTACAAAAGTAAACCAACATATTGGTTAGGAAAGGGATTTTCCTGACGAGGGTTAAAATCTTTTGTGGCTTGTTTCTTTCTTTTCAATAATTAAATTCTGACAGATAGATTAGGCAATGCCCAATATGTACATCTGTCAATCTTTCTGTATGCTGCACTCTGATTGGATGGTAACTTATCAAGTTCTTTGTGTGTAATAAATCAGCGTTATCTACTAATAGGCCACACCCCTCGACAGCCGATCCAATCAAACATGAAAGCTGATCTACGTCTTTTGCAAAAAGGAAACTTAAGTGGAAATACTTACCTTTGTAAGCGCCAAGCCGGAAACCAACAGTGTTATCTGTCAATGAAAATAATAAGACGTGAAACGTAATGTTTGCACAATTTATCCAGGGCAAATTCATGAAGACGTGATCTTTTATGACAAGAAATTATGGGAATAACTAAAAAAATTCCTGAAACTTTCTGTTGCGGTGATCATGACAGGCACATGACATGCACATCTACATGTGTGCACACTTAATGTCCATTCTAGGCAATGTGCACTTTTAACTTAATGAATTATTGCCTAGAGCACCAATACCAGAGGCTAGGGTGCTCCAGCTATCTTTAAAAAAAAAAAGGAACAAAACAGAAAAGTAACGCTATGATTTGAAATGTTACTTTCATTGAAGAGTGCCTACTACTTCAACGTCATGTTCAAAGAATTAAATGATCAGCATTTTTTGTCAACACGTGATGATCCCATTGCAAATCCCTCCCCCCCCCCCCACGTACCTCTGGTCAAAACACGCAAGGAGGCGGAATAAATCCCCCACCTGGGGCATGCCGTGATTTTGGATTCTAGGTGCTCTGTGGTGCAATCTGAGGCAAATTTTGACCATTTATGTTTCCGAGCAAAAGCTCATAATTTAAACATCATTTTCGAGTTTGGAGTAATTGAATCGGATATTCTGAGCTATTGAATCATATGTAGGCTACAAAAAGTGGGGAGGGGGCAAACGATATGATATCCTCCCACTTTAAGAGGTGGGGGGATTTGTCTTCCCCCCCCCCCCCACCACTCCCCCCTTCCTCCACCGATTGACGAGATTGGAACCAGCCAGCCAGCCCCAGCAAGCTTGGTGGTCAAGTGGTTAAGACATCTGCACTAGGAAGCAGGAGGTTGCTGGTGCCAGTCCCACTTGGGTAACTTGTGAGTTAGTTTTTCATTGGGGGGGGGTTGCTTTATTCCAAATAGCACCAACATCCATGATATCCGAGTTTAGAACTGCAGTAAATTTCTAATGAATGGTGGTTAGAATCCAGCCCAACCCTGCATTCTATTTGAATGTCTTCACCTCTCTTCTACTGGTAAGCTGTCCTCCTCCTTCCTCCTCTTAGCTTCTTGGGTGTTTCCATCAATTTCCTCTTGGCTTCTCTTCAGAGCAGGGCTCTTAGTGTACGGGTCCTTAACTGGCTTGGCGAGCTACGGAAAAGAGTCATTGTGGGAACGTGAACCTGTAACCACAGCAATAGCAGCCACTATAGACCCCTTGCACTGGTAGCCATTGCTGAGGGGTTCTTATTCATTTAAATCCAATGACAAGTGCCAACAGAAGCAAGTGCCAATAGTAAAAACCACAAGTGACTTTGTGAATGCCTTAGCTTTAAGCACTTGTCCTTTCCATTTGTGTCAGCTGAGTGATAAAAAATAAATACAGACAGTCAGTAACCACTTTGATTCCTACCAATCAATCCATCACAAACGACTGAATGTAACAGAAAAGGAGATCACTACATTTGTATTTGTAAATTTGAATGTTTGTGTCGAGGGAGAAAGGGGGGGGGGTGTACTTAAAGCTGCAGGTTACATCCTGAAAAATAGTTTTCTTTTTGAAATTGCTATTTTTCTATCAATATAGAAAAACTTATTCACTTTTGAATGAGACATTAACCGAAAAAATTGGCCCATGTTTAGTTATTGAATTATAACTTTATTATTTCAAATTATTGGCTGCCAGATAATAATTCCATTTTCGCGGGTTAGGCTGGTTCCACTATCTACCCCACTATCAGTATCGATAATGTACGGACCGGGAGCCAGTCTGCTAGCAAAGCGGATCATCGGTCTGTGCCAAGAACAAAAAGAAAAGTTCATGGGAACTTTCTTAGTATAACATTTGATAGCAGAAGTCTCAGTACACTTTCAATTTCAAGTAAGAGAGTGTGGGAATTCCATGGTTTCAAATCTTTGTTGATGCAGTGACTATTTGTATCTGTATTTAAATTTCTTTCTTGATTGTCCGAACATCAAAACTAAAACTTGTATCAAGTTTCCCTGTGCTCTTATTTGTGTTTCATTACATCAGCCCACTCAACTTTCACTCTTTAAGAAGCTCCCATGTCACTCACTCCTGACTAGAATTTTCTGGCGCCAGTTTGTCTTTCATGTCTCAAATATTCATCCCTATCTTGCTGGTTATTTAGGCTGGCAAGTTTCCTAAACGCTCCAAATTCCAACTCCGTGTAGTAAACTAATGGTAAACTCCTTGTTATGTTCATCAATAAATAAAAGCAAAATTAAGAGATTCACTTTTTGTTGGGGTGAGTTTTCAAATTTTTTTATCATGAATAGAGGAAGCTATGTATGGATTAAAACAGAACACAGTTCCCTAAATTGTAGGAAAGAAAAGAATTACACACACATATGAGCAATTCCAGCGTTATAAAAGGGATATAATATGTCTGTCACAGAGCCAGTTAACCATCAATGATTTAGACAAATGATCCAAAAACTCCCAGTGTGAAATCTCCTTGACCATTACTAGATGATGGATGCATACGATTTGGAAAAACATTCAGGTGTACTCACTGAACTCTTAACAGCTCCAGGGCCCGACCGTACCAGCATTTCATAATACTGGGATCGCCCATCACTGAACAAACTTTAGATCCAGAGCCAAAATGTCACAAAATCTGACCATCTGATTTCAAACATGCACACTCAAGCAACAACTGACACTCGACTGGATGTAGATGCCCACTTGATTTGGCAAGCAACAACTCACCTTGGTAGTGAATATCAACACAGAGTTTGCATTCTTTACCTGAATGTCACAAAAGCATAGGTTGCCTTGTTGACTGCCTTGACTTTCTTGGGTTCCAGTTGCAGACCAGTCAACATCTTCTTCAGTTGCTGTAAGAAAATATATTAATAAATAAAATTGAATTGCCTATTCAGCATGCAAGTCTTACCAGTTCATGGTCACTTTTTATGGGAAAATCTTTGTACCAAACACTGACTAGTCTAGCCTCTGATCCAGACCTTTGAAATTTAATAAGTAAACAAAAACAAATACTACTAAATGTTGGGGACATTGAGATGTGCACCTTGTACTGTGTTTATTCCTTGAGGTCTAACCCTCTCACATTTGACCAAATTCAACACCTGGTTTTCCATGATATTTAGGGCCAAGATACCATGACATAATCAATTATAAACTCTATAAACATGTACATGTACCGGGTATTACAATTAATTGGTTTCAACAGAACACTGAGAGAGTTTACAGTGAAAATCAAAATGTTCAAGCTCTCAACTCCAATGAAGCTTCATGAATTCTCCAAAACACACTGAACTGATAGCATATCTGTTGTACATGTACATACATGTACATCAATTAACTTTGGAATCCATCATTATGATCAAAATACAAAAATGTACGTATGTACAATACCAGGGGCTGGGATTTTTTCGGTGGATTAGAGGGTGATAGGGGTTAAAGAACAACGCTGCACTATCTTGAGGAAAACACACCCCCCCCCCCAAAAAAAAATTATAATTACAAGCAGAAACAAAAATTGGCAAATTTCATAACAATGTCAATATAGTGTAAAAGTGTTGAGTGTTTTGGTTACACTGCTGTCAAAATACTAGACAAAATTATCCTTTAATATCTTAAAGATGAAAGGCAAAGCTGGGAGAAAATATGAAGAAGGTTTTACTTTCAACTACAAGGTCTTTAATATTCTTTAGTATAAAACTGGAGTCATCTTGAAATAGGACAGACTACATGTACCAATAATGCATCCGTATGGAATGTTGCAAAATAGAGTGCTACACTGTACATGAACTATGGGTGATGGCTACCAACACAGCTCCACTCCATCAACTGAAGTAGAAAAGCATCTTGAGAACTATAACAAGAGTCTAGATAGAAGTCTACAAATAATATATTTAAGTGCTGAAATCATTGCACCAATCGGCCTCCTCATCAACTTTGTCTTTCTCTTCACAGTCATTCGAGTGAAGTCCATGCGGACAATCATCAACATCTACTTATCCAATCTGGCTGTGGCTGACTCGCTCTACCTTATAACTGAATTTATATTTGCATTGTTTTCACCTCTAGAGAACAATTTCTTTGTCCAAAAGGCAATCCAAACTTTACGATACATATTTCTAGCTGCCTCTAATTTCTTTGTAGTGACCATAGCAGCTGAGAGATTCTCTGCAGTGCGCAATCCTCTGACATTCAAAGAAAAAGCCTCTAAATCTCGAGCAGCAAAGATATCAGCAGGACTCTGGGTGCCAACAATTATTGTTGGTGGGATTCTGATTTTCTTACCAATAACAAACATTGTCTTCACTGTCATCGCCTTTTGGGCCTGTTCAATTATCAACTTTGTCTGTTTAATAGCAACTATTGTTTTGTACATCTATGTTGTAGTGAAAGTACGCAAGCAATCAGCCCTGTTTCCAAACCGTCCCAAACAAGCAGGCAAGGTCCTCTGTATGGTTATCATCAATACTGCTGTTTTCTTCATTCTGAACACATTGTTCACTGCAGCTACAATTATTTTCATTGCGACGGAGAGAAGTACAGGTGTGCCTTTCCAGGTTTTTGATGAATATATAAAACTTGCGGAAAAATTAAATATTCTGACCATTTGCATAGCAATCTTCCAATTGATCAACAGCTCCATCAATTCACTGGTCTACAGTGCCACAAATGCTGAGTATCGTGAAGCTGTAGTTGAGGTTTTCTCATTCCTTAAACTGTGCTGTCGTTGCTGCCCAAGACGGAATCCCAGCCGACCATTGCAGCCAGGGAAGCAGATTGAGCTTCGTGTGATTCCACAGGCAGAAAATGACCAAGAGCACCGTGCTGCCAGGCCAAGCAGCAGCAAGCCACCAAGCCAAGGGTATGCACAACACACAGAGAGTCAGCAGTCACTGGACAGCTGTCAAGAAAAATGTTCCAGGCAAAGCAGCAGCAAGGCATCCATGCACAGTCAGCAGCATGTTCAAGTGCATGTTGAGGTACATGCAGAGCCAGTGGGGACCCCAGCGCTTGCAAGTTCTCATCAGGAACAATGCTCTCGTCTGACTGACTGCAAGCCATCCATGCAAGGGGAACAGTGTGTACATCCAGAACCAGCAGAGAGCCAGCAGTCACTTGCAAGTACTCAGGAACAATGTCCTGGGCTGACTGGCACCGAGCCATCAGCACAAGGGCAGCAGTATGCACATCCAGAACCAGAAGGGAGTCAATCGTTGGAAAGATGTCAAGAGCAAAGTTCTCTGGTAATTGAGAGTGAGACGTCCAAGTGATCAGGGAGCACATGTGTGCTTTTGAACTGCTCTGGGATGTTCCAACTGTAGAGCAGTTTTAGGCCTTTTCATACCTGTACTGTACATTTTCTTCATTGGAAAGCCAAATAGATTTGACGTCGAGAAACTTTAACAGCATAAATGCTGGAGTTGAAATGTGTTTTACTTTAGAGGATTGGCAATAAATGTACCCACCATGACATCATTAATGTGCAGGCCCAGAGCAGATTGCAACCAACTATCAGTGAAGGGAACAGCTGGAACTCATCCAATGTATGTATACAAGTGGTTCAGAAATTACAAATCGCATTACGTTCATTGCTAGTTGAATTGTATTGACATCACAGCAACATAAGAAACAATTGTGAAAGTGCACAGGCATTGCAAAAGTATGCAGCTGTTTACCATTTTATAATTTTTTCATGTTTCGCGGAAATTCATTCCATGGACTATTAATTCAGTTAATCTATTTTAAAAGAGTTGAAAAATCCCAACCATGGTTGGCAATATGAACTCTTGAAAAGTGCAAACTGTATGATTATCGCTATCGAGGGTTCAATGTTAAGGGAGAAAACTCACTGCAAATCAAAAATGTCTTGGGAGGTTTTGGATCTCAATCTTGAAGATCACTGAGGTGAAGTGCTGTTGCGTCAGATAGTGATAAGGATCCGTTACGGCAGCGCCAGTCACCGGTACGTCAGAGGTGCTGGTGGAATGGTTATCTTGTGGGTCAAGACCTGATAGACAAATGAACAGATTAAAAAACAAACTCCAATCAGAGAAAAAAAAAATTGAATTGCTATTTTTTAGCATTGGGTATAGTTAGGTCTAATATGAGCTTTTAAGTGAGATGTCTATGGCTACCGTCTAGGTCTTCACCCATTACAATTACATGGGAACAATCTGACAATAGCCGTAGCCATAGCTCTAGAAGCCTGTTTCAGACAGCCTAAGTGACAGACAACACAAGTTGCAAGTTATGCATTAGGAACATCTGATTCCAAATACGTTATACCAATCTTTGTGCATATATGTAGCACAACGTGGAAAATATATTCTCAAGACCAAATTAAGTGCAGACCTTTCGTTCAAAGTTTCTGCAAAAACAATTATCAAGGAAAAATCTATTAAATATATGTTTTATCTGCACAGCACCTATGAGACCATTGCAGGCTTTAGATGTACAGTATGGGATTTAATCTGCTTTCTTCATAGCTTCTACATGTAAAGTAGCTGTAAAAATGTAGTTGATATATAAAGTTGAAGTCCGCAATTTGTACTCCACTTCTGTCAATAGAGCATGTAAGTTGATCGAAAAAAACCTCAGTTCAAGATTTTATGTGAAAACGCTACATTCGAGTATGGCACCATATATTAAAGGACCTACAACGTGTGTAACATCCTATTGTTTGCATTGTTTTGTGTTCTGACTAGGTTTATCCAGTCAAGGGCAATCCATGGGTTCTGAAAAAGAAAAGAATCATTCCAATTTTCAACACATTCAAAACAATGCCAATTGATTAGGTCTACTATAATAAATTGAAAAAATGTTGACTTCCGTTCAATCGATTACTATTGGGCAAATTCAAACACGGAAATCTGTGACTAGACTAGTCAGTGTTTGGTGTCAAGACGTTTACATGAAAAGTGAATGTGAACTGGCGAGACTTGCATGCTCTGTAATTGTACATTGACTATGTAGCACCAGAAGTCTGTTGTATTACATTATGAGCTCCATGTCTGTATGATGTTTAAATGCAAAGCAATATTTTACAATTCTTTCAGATGGACTCAAGTTTACTTAAAATTTGGACAATTGAAAAATCAATGCTATAAAATATGAATGTCTTTGTAAAGTTAGCATCAGACAAGATTGTACATATACATGTATCTTAATTTGGACAGTATCCAAGGAATTGCTGCTTTCTACATGTTCATTAAAGCTGCTATTTCCCTATGTAATTGACACTCTAAACACACCTAATACAGCAATGTACTATCACCCAATGGGTGTTTGAGCTCTTTTGTCTTTCTGATACATAGTAATATTTGATTCTTTGTTTTGTTGGCCGGCAGCAGGATGCAAACCATGTTTCTAAAAAGTCACATCCTTTTATAGGACAAACAAATTTGCTTGTAAAAGCAAGATCAGTGATAAATTAAATGTGCATGTACGCTAGCAACATTTAAATAAGCAGTGATTTTCCTGAATTTTGTAACCTAAATCTTATTATTAGATGGAATTTTTGCGCCGGGGTGATATTATTCACATTAGGTTTTGCCCTTCAATGACATTTTTTTTTTTTTGGCCAACCGATCCCGTTAACTCGGTGGTTGAGTGGTAAGACATCTGCACTAGAAAGCAGGAGGTCGTGGGTTCGAGTCCCACCTGAGTGATTTTTTCCAACTTTCACTCGGGAGGTAACACACTGAGTATACAGTGGTTTAAAAAAAAAAAAAACGTCGGTGAAGGGCAAAACCTAATTTGAACCTAAATCTTGCTTGTAATTGTTGAAAAATCCCTATTGAGTAATAAAGCTTGCTGGTCAATGTTGAAAGTACAAATTTACACTTTAATATTCATGTTACAAAAGTAAGTCAACATGAATTGGTTAGGAAAGGGAAGACAAGTGTAAAAGTCTTTTATAGCTTGTTTCTTTCTTTTCAATAATTAAATCCTGACAGATAGATTAGACAATGCACTATATGAACACCTGTCAATCTTTCTGTGTGTTGCATTCTGATTGGTTGGAGTTGATCAGCATTAGCTACTATTAAATAGGCCACGCCCCTCGACAGCCGATCCAATCAAACATGAAAGCTGATCTAGGTCTTTTACAAAAAGGAAACTTCAGAGGAAATACTTACCCTTGTAAGCGCCAAGCCGAAAACCAACAGTGTTATCTGTCAATGAAAATAATAAGACACGAAACTGAAATGTTTGTACAATTTATCCAGAGCGAAGTTTCATGAAGACCTGATCTTTTATGACAAGAAATAAGGGGAATAACTAAGAAAATTCCAGAAACTTTCTGTTGCGGTGATCATAACAGGCACATCACATGCTCATCTCACATGTGTACACACTTCATGTCCATTCTAGGCAATGTGCACTTTTAACTTAATGATTTATTGACTAGTGCACCAATACCAGAGGCTAGGGTGCTCTAGCTATCTATGATTGCTCTTTGCTTCTCTCAGAACTACTTCAACGTCATGTTCAAAGAATTAAATGATCAGCATTTTTTGTCAACACGTGATGATCCCATTGCAAATCCCTCCTCCCCCCCCCCACCTCTGGTCAAAACACGCAAGGGGCGGGATAAATCCCCAACCCGGGTGTTTATGCCGTGATTTGGGATTCTAGATGCCCTGTGGTGCGATCTGAGGCAATTTCTGACCACTAATATTTTTGAGCAAAAGATCATAATTTAAACATCATTTTCGAATTGAATCAGCTATTCTGAGCTATAGAATCATATGTAGGCTACAAAAAGTGTGTGTGTGGGGGGGGGGGGGGGGGGGGCAAACGATATGATATCCCCCCACTTTAAAAGGTGGGGGGATTTGTCCCCCCCCCCACCACTCCCCCCTTCCTCCACCGATTGACGAGATTGGAACCAGCCAGCCAGTCCCAGCAAGCTTGGTGGTCAAGTAGTTAAGACATCTGCACTAGGAAGCAGGAGGTTCCAGTGCAAGTCCCACCTGGGTAACTTATGAGTTTAAAATTTTATTTTTTTTTCATAGGGGGGGGGGGTGCTTTATTCTATTTTTCTTTTTTTCAAAAACCTTTGGGAATTTTGCGTGCGTGTGGACTTTACTTCAGAAAATTTGATAAATTTATTTTTTTTTAATCTAAAATAATTCTTAAGAAAGATAGGCAACATTTTCTGGAGCTTTAACAAGTTTTTCGGGGCAACTGCACATGTTAGTCGCCTGTGTCTGGAAGCAGTTTGTCAAGGAAGATCACATTTCCATTCTGGCCCACAACCATCCCGTGTCTTTGGTGAGTAGCTCACCTTTGTTGCTTCAGCCAGGGAGATATCTCCCCAATGTTCCGTTGCAGCATCTTGGATAAATTCCTCAGAAACTCCCTGGTGTTGGTCTGTTTGGTGGATAGCTGGTTTTCATACGGCTGGTTCCACAGTGGAGTCACTGCGTTGTTTAACCTGCAGATTGAAAAAGGAAGAAAAAATTGAGCTCAGTATTTCAGAGTCTTAACAAATTTTAGTAATAGTGAATGGTTCAACTGCTATCCTTTTTGAGATTTGGCAGACACAATATCAGGGTGCTAGTGGGTTTGGGTAAATTTGGGGTCAATACAAAATACTTGACCCAAACCAAATAGCACCAACATCCATGATATCCGAGTTAAGAACTGCAGTACATTTCTAATGGATGGTGGTTCGAATCCAGCCCAACCCTGCATTCTATCTCAATGTCTTCACCTCTCTTCTACTGGTAAGCTGTCCTCCTCCTTCCTCCTCTTAGCTTCTTGGGTGTTTCCATCAGATTCCTCTTGGCTTCTCTTCAGAGGGAGGTTCTTAGTGTACGGGTCCTCAACTGGCTTGGCGAGCTACGGGAAAAAGTCATTGTGGGAACGTGAACCTGTAACCACAGCAATAGCAGCCACTAGACCCCTTGCACTGGTAGCCATTGCTGAGGGGTTCTTATTCATTTAAGTCCAATGACAAGTTCCAACAGAAGCAAGTGCCAATAGTAAAAACCACAATTGACTTTGTGAATACCTTGGCTTTCAGCACTTGTCCTTTCCATTTGTGTCCGTTGAGTACTTTCAATGCCTCCTCCTTATCTTCTTGGCAGCTGAGTGATAAAAAATAAATACAGACAGTCAGTAATCACTTTGATTCCTACCAATCAATCCATCACAAACGACTGAATGTAACAGGAAAGGCGATCACTACATTTGTATTTGTAAATTTCAATGTTTGTGTCGAGGGAGAAGGGGGGGGGGGTGTACTTAAAGCTGCAGGTTACATCCCAAAAAATAGTTTATACAAAACTTGTTCACTTTTGAAAGAGACATTAACCTAAAAAAAATGTCCCATGTTTAGTTATTGAATTATAACTTTATTATTTCAAATTATTGGCTGCCAGATAATAATTCCATTGTCGCGGGTTAGGCTGGTTCCACTATCTACCCCACTATCAGTATCGATAATGTACGGACCGGGAGCCAGTCTGCTAGCAAAGCGGATCATCGGTCTGTGCCAAGAACAAAAAGAAAAGTTCATGGGAACTTTCTTAGTAAAAACATTTGATAGCAGAAGTCTCAGTACACGTTCAATTTCAAGTAAGAGAGTGTGGGAATTCCATGGTTTCAAATCTTTGTTGATGCAGTGACTATTTATATCTTAAATTTCTTTCTTGATTATCCAAAAACCACAACTAAAACTTGTATCAAGTTTCCCTGAGCTCTTATTTGTGTTTCATTACGTCAGCACACTCAACTTTCACTCTTTAAGAAGCTCCCATGTCACTCACTCCTGACTAGAATTTTCTGGCGCCAGTTTGTCTTTCATGTCTCAAATATTCATCCCTATCTTGCTGGGTTTTTAGGCTGGCAAGTTTCCTAAACGCTCCAAATTCCAACTCTGTGTAGTAAACTAATGGTAAACTCCTTGTTATATGTTCATCAATAAATAAAAGCAAAATTAAGAGATTCACTTTTTGCTGGGGTGAGTTTTCAAATTTTTTATCATGAGTAGAGGAAGCTATGTATGGATTAAAACAACACAGTTCCCTAAATTGTAGGAAAGAAAAGAATTACACACACATATGAGCAATTCCAGCGTTATAAAAGGGATATGTCTGTCACAGAGCCAGTTAACCATGATATCAATGATTCAGAGAAATGATCCAAAAAATCCCAGTGTGAAATCTCCTTGACCATTACTAGATGATGGATGTATAAGATTCAGAAAAACACACACTCAGGTTTACTCATTGAACTCTTTAACAGCTCTGTCACCAGCATTTCATAATACTGGGATTGCCCATCACTGAACAAACTTAATTAGATCAAAGGCCAAAATGTCACAAAATTAGACCATCTGATTTCAAATACGCACACTCAAGCAACAACTGACACTCGACTGGATGTAGATGCCCACTTGATTTGGCAAGCAACAACTCACCTTGGTAGTGAATATCAACACAGAGTTTGCATTCTTTACCTGAATGTCACAAAAGCATAGGTTGCCTCGTTGACTGCCTTGACTTTCTTGGGTTCCAGTTGCAGACCAGTCAAAATCTTCTTCAGTTGCTGTAAGAAAATATATTAATAAATATAATTGAATTGCCTATTGAGCATGCAAGTCTTACCAGTTCATGGTCACTTTTTATGGGAAAATCTTGGTACCAAACACTGACTAGTCTAGCCTCTGATCCAGACCTTTGAAATTTAATAAGTAAACAAAAACAAATACTACTAAATGTTGGAGACATTGAGATGTGCACCTTGTACTGTGTTTATTCCTTGAGGTCTAACCCTCTCACATTTGACCAAATTCAACACCTGGTTTTCCATGATATTTAGGGCCAAGATACCATGACCTACTCAATTATAAACTCTATAAACATGTACATGTACCGGGTATTTCAATTAATTGGTTTCAAAAGAACACTGTGAGAGTTTACAGTGACAATCAAAATGTTCAAGCTCTCAACTCCAATGAAGCCTCATGAATTCTCCAAAACACACTGAACTGATAGCATATCTGTTGTACATGTACATACATGTACATCAATTAACTTTGGAATCCATCATTATGATCAAAATACAAAAATGTACGTATGTACAATACCAGGGGCTGGGATTTTTTTCGGTGGATTAGAGGGTGGTTGGGGTTAAAGTACAGCATTGCACTATCTTGAGGAAAACACCCCCCCCCCCCCAAAAAAAAAAAATAATAATAATAATAATAATTACGAGCAGAAACAAAAATTGGCAAATTTCATGACAATGTCAATAGCGAAACAGTGTTGAGTGTTTTGGTTACACTGCTGTCAAAATACTAGACAAAATTATCCTTGAATATCTTAAAGATGAAAGGCAAAGCTGGGAGAAAATATGAAGAAGCTTTTACCTTCAGCTACAAGGTCTTATATTCTCTGTTAGTATAAAACTGGAGTCATCTTGAAATAGGACAGACTACATGTACCAATAATGCATCCGTATGGAATGTTGCAAATAGTTGTTACACTGTACATGAACTATGGGTGATGGCTACCAAAACAGCTCCACTCGGTCACCTGAAGTACAAAAGCATTTTGAGAACTATTACAAGAGTCGAGATAGAAGACTACAAATATCATTGTTAAGTGCTGAAATCATTGCACCAATCGGCCTCCTCATCAACTTTGTCTTTCTCTTCACAGTCATTCGAGTGAAGTCCATGCGTACAATCATCAACATCTACTTATCCAATCTGGCTGTGGCTGACTCGCTTTTCCTTACGACTGACTTTATATTTGCATTGTTTATTTCACCAATAGCGTACAGTGAATTTGTCCAAAATGCGATCGTAGTTTTACGATCCACGTCCATGGCTGCTTCTAATTTCTTTGTGGTTACCATAGCAGCTGAGAGATTCTCTGCAGTGCGCAATCCTCTGACATTCAAAGAAAAAGCCTCCAAATCTCGAGCAGCAAAGATATCAGCAGGACTCTGGGTGCCAACAATTATTGTTGGTGTGATACTGATATTCTTACCAATAACACAGTCCGTCTTCAATGAAATCATCTTTTGGACCCGTTCCATTATCAACCTTGTCTGTTTAATAGCAACTATACTTTTGTACATCTATGTAGTAGTGAAAGTGGGCAAGCAATCAGCCCTGTTGCCAAACCGTCCCAAGCAAGCAGGAAAGGTACTCTGTATGGTTATCATCAATACTGCTGTTTTCTTCATTCTGAATTCATTGGACACTGCAGCTGTAATTATTGTCATTGTGGCGAGGACTTATTCTACAAGTGTGCCTTCCCAGGTTGTTGAAATTCTAAAACTTGCAAAAGAAATACATATTCTGAATATGTGCATAGTAATCTTCCAACTTATCAATAGCACCATCAATTCCCTGGTCTACAATGCCACAAATGCTGACTATCGTGAAGCTGTAGTCGAGGCTTTCTCATTCCTGAAACTGTGCTGTCGTTGCTGCCCAAGACGGAATCCAAGCCGACCATTGCAGCCAGGGAAGCAGATTGAGCTTCGTGTGATTCCACAGGCAGAAAATGACCAAGAGCACCGTGCTGCTAGGCCAAGCAGCAGCAAGCCACCAAGCCAAGGGCATGCACAACACACAGAGAGTCAGCAGTCACTGGAAAGCTGTCAAGAACAATGTTCCAGGCAAAGCAGCAGCAAGGCATCTATACACAGTCAGCACCATGTTCAAGTGCACGTTGAGGTACATGCAGAGCCAGTGGGGACCCCAGCACTTGCAAGTTCTCATCAGGAACAATGCTCTAGTCTGACTGACTGCAAGCCATCCATGCAAGGGGAACAGTGTGTACATCCAGAACCAGCAGAGAGCCAGCAGTCCCTTGCAAGTACTCAGGAACAATGTCCTGGGCTGACTGGTACCGAGCCATCAGCACATGGTGAGCAGTATGCACATCCAGATTCAGAAGGGAGTCAATCGTTGGAAAGATGTCAAGAGCAAAGTTCTCTGGTAATTGAGTGTGAGACGTCCAAGTGAGGGGAGCACATGTGTGCTTTTGAACAGCTCTAGGATGTTCCAACTGTAGAGCAGTTTTATGGCCTTTTCATACCTGTACTGTACATTTTCTTCATTGGAAAGCCAAGTAGATTTGACGTCGAGAAACTTTAACAGCATAATATGGTGGAGTTGAAATGTGTTTTACTTTAGTGGATTGGCAATAAATGTACCCACCATGACATCATTAATGTGCAGGCCCAGAGCAGATTGCAACCATCTATCAGTGAAAGGAACAGCTGGAATTCATCCAATGTATGTATGCAAGTGGTACAGAAATTACAAATCGCATTACGTTCATTGCTTATTGAATGAGGATTTTGTGTGTGTCTAAATGAGCAAGTTTGTTTGTTTTCTGTGAGAACAAAATACATAAACATGTATTGGCACTGGAAAACCATGACATTTTTCACTTTAAAAATACTTTTTTAAGTGCCTTTGAAACAGATTTTGAGGTTTTTATCTTGGGACATGCACTTCATTATAAGTTTGAGGATGTTTCAGGATTTTAAATATTTTTATGAAAGTGCCAAGTTCCATATTCATGAGCAATACAGTGATGTCATGAGCTGGAACTTCAGTGTCACTTCAGTGTCAGTGTTTTGGTCGAGGTTGACTGTATTTAGCATGATCATGGCACAAAGTCATAATGCACAAAGTGCTATGTGTACATGCACAATGCAATGAATTTTTGGTTCATAAATTACACAGAAAATCCCAAAGCTGTACAGTGTAAAATACCTATATTGACATCACAGCAACATAAGAAACAATTGTGAAAGTGCACAGGCATTGCAAAAGTATGCAGCTGTTTACCATTATATGATTATTTATTCAGTTAATCTATTTTAAAAGAGCTAAAAAATCCCAACCATGGTTGGCAATACAAACTCTTGAAAAAGCAGAAACTGTATGATTAACGTTATCGAGGGTTCAATGTTCAGGGAGAAAACTCACCGCGAATCCAAAATGTCTTGGGAGGTTTTGGATCTCAATCTTGAAGATCTCTGAGGTGAAGTGCTGTTGCGTCAGATAGTGATAAGGATCCGTTATGGCAGCGCCAGTCACCGGTACATCAGAGGTGCTGGTGGAATGGTTATCTTGTGGATCAAGACGTGATAGACAAATGAACAGATTAAAAGACCAACTCCAATCAGAGAAGAAAATAGATTGAAATTGCTATTTCTAAGCATAAAGTATATGTTTAAGTCTAATATGAGCTTTCAAGTGAGATGTCTATGGATATTGTCTAGGTCTTCACTCGTTACAATTACATGGGAACAATCTGACAATAGCCGTAGCCATAGCTCTAGAAGCCCGTTTCAGACTCAGCCTAAGTAACAGACAAAAAATGTGACAAGTTATGCATTAGGAGCATCTAATACCAAATATGTTATACCAATCTTTGGGAATAAATTTAGAACGTGGAAAATGGGCTTTATTCACGAGTCGGCCATACTAAATTGAAAGCGAGGTAAATTGGAACTTGCGAAGAGAAATCATAGCAATGACATAAACTAAATTACAAATTAAAACCAGTCTGCTGTGATGAATAATTTAAAATTTGAGATTAAAAAAATAAACATACCCTAATGTTTTAAGCCACATTTAAAGAAAAAGACGAAAGTGAGGATAGAATGTACAAATAGTCTGGCATAATCCCACTCAACAGTTCACAATTAGAAAGAACATATGCAGGGAACACGACCAAAATGGCTTTCTCGTGAATAAGGTCCGTATATTCTCAAGACCAACTTAAGTGCAGACCTTTCGTTCAAAGTTTCTTGAAATTGGTTTTAGCGAGGAAAAATCTATTAAAGATGTGGGTTTTTTTCAGCAGAGCACAGACATATTGTAGGCTTTAAATGTACAGTATGGGATTTAATCTGCTTTCTTCATAGCTACTACATGTAGCTGGAGAAAATGTAGTCGTTAGTTAAAGTCAGCAATGTGTACTCCACTTCTGTCAATAGAGCATGCAAGTTGATCGGAAAAACCTGCAAGATTTTATGTAAATACACTATATTAAGCATGGCACCATGTATGAAAGGAGCAACAACGTGTGTAACATCCTATTTGTGTGCATTTATTTTGTGTCCTGACTAGGTTTATCCAGTCAAGGGCAATGAATGGGTTCTGAAAAAGAGAAGAATCATTCCAATTTACAACACATTCAAAACATTGCCAATTGATTAGGTCTGCTATAATAAATTGAAAAAATGTTGACTTCCATTCAATCGATTACGCAGACAACTATTGGGTAAATTCAAACACAGAAATCTGTGACTGGACTAGTCAGTGTTTGGTGCCAAGATGTTCACATGAAAAGTGAATGTGAACTGGCGAGACTTGCATGCTCTATTATACAAATATTGAATGCTTCGAGTGGTGTAGTAGAACTAGCCTCCCGAGGTGATCCATGGACATTCTATTTTCCCGAGGCGAAGCCGAGGGAAAATAGAATGCTCCATGGATCACCGAGGGAGGCTAGTTTTACTTCACCACGAGAAAAGCATTCAATATTTGTTTTATTACACTTCACCCACAGATTCTGCTTGGTTTTAAGATTTTAAATTATTTAAATCTGAACACAGTTGAAATAGACTTCAATTTCAATACAAAATGGGTGGAAAATGTATTTCTCTCTTCCAAACTACCCCTTCACGAAATGTTTGAACCCAACTCTGTGGCGCGCTCTCTTTGGAACAAAACGCGCTACGCACAACGCGCAACGCGCACACCATTATGCATTTGCACACAAATACCGCGCCGTGGAAATAGTACTTTGGTTGCTAATGGTATAGTACTTTGGTTGCTATGGGCATAGTACTTTTGGCCGTGTATAGAAAGATAGCAAAAATAGAAAGTATCATGTGACTTGCTCTCGGCCAATCAAGACACAGAATCTGTGGGTGAGGTGTTATAAAATTGTACATTGACTGTGTAGCACCACTAGTCTGTTGTATTACATTTATGAGCTCCATGTCTGTATGATGTTTAAATGCAAAGCAATATTTTACAATTCTTTCAGATGGACTCAAGTTTACTTAAAATTTGGACAATTGAAAAATCAATGCTATAAAATATGAAGGTCTTTGTACAGTTAGCTGAGACAAGGTTGTATATAGATGTATCTTAATTTGGACAGTATCCAAGGAATTGCTGCTTTCTACATGTTCATTAAAGCTGCTATTTGCTTGTGTACTTAAACACTCTAAACACACCTAATACAGCAATGTACTATCACCAAATCGGTGTTAGAGCTCTTATGTCTTTCTGATACCCAGTAATATTCGATTGTTTGTTTTGATGGCCGACCACAGGATGCAAACCATGTTTCCAAAAGTCACATCCTTTTATAGGACAAACAAATTTGCTTGTAAAAGCAAGATCAGTGATAAATTAAATATGCATGTACACTAGCAACATTTAAATAAGCAGTGATTTTCCTGAATTTTGTAACCTCAATCTTGGTTGTAATTGTTGAAAAATCCCTATTGAGTAAAAGATCTTGCTGGTCAATGTTGAAAGTACAAATATATACCCTCAATATTCATGCCACAAAAGTAAGCCAACATTGGTTAGGAAAGGGGATGACAAGGGTTAAAGCCTTTTGTGGCTTGTTTCTTTCTTTTCAATAATTAAATTCTGACAGATAGATTAGACAATGCATAATATGTACATCTGTCAATCTTTCTGTGTGCTGCATTCTGTTTGGATGGTAACTAATCAAGTCCTTCGTGCATCATCTACTTATAGGCCATGCCCCTCGATAGCCGATCCAATCAAACATGAAAGCTGATCTACGTCTTTTGCAAAAAGGAAACTTCAGAGGAAATACTTACCTTTGTAAGCACCAAGCCAGAAACCAACAGTGTTATCTGTCAATGAAAATAATAAGACATGAAACTGAAACTTTTGCACAATTTATCCAGGGCCAAGTTTCATGAAGACCTGCCAAGAAATTAGGGGAATAACTGAAAAAAATCCTGAAACTTTCTGTTAAGAAAAGGCTTATTATGAACATGTGTGCACACTTTATGTCCTTTCCAGGCAATGTGCACTTTTAACTTAATGATGCAGTGCCTTGAACACCAATACTGGTGGATAGGTGTCCTCTATCTTCAAACAAACAAAAACAAGAAAAGAAATGCTTTGATTTCAAATTTTACTTTCATTTAAGAGTGCCCAGGGTTGCTCTTTGCTTCTCTGTCTCAGCATTACTTCAACTTCTTTGTAAAGTCATGTTGACAGGATTAAGCAATCAGCATTTTCCCCTTACACATGATGATCTCATTGCCAATTCCCCCATCCCCGGTCAAAACATGGGAGGGGTGGGGATAAATCCCCCACCCCCTGGTGTGTATGCCATGAGACCTAGTTTGCCAGGAAGTCCAGGGACAGTTGGTCTCAATCTGCCCCTGAATGACAGAGTTTCTCTACGCAGGGGGTTGGGGTTCACCTCAACTCTCATTGGTTGCTGGTGCGAGTCCCACTCAAGCAGAGCTGTGAATTGATTAGGTTTGGGTTTTTCCTCTTTTGTTTTTGTTTTCGGTTTAATTTTGTGACTTTTGTGTGTGGGGAAGAGAGCTTATAACAGGAAATTGGGTAAAAACTTTGGTGAGTTTTAACTGCTTCTCCAGAAAAAGAGGAAACATGTTCTGGGGCTTTAACAAATTTTCAGGGCAGTTGTACATGTAAGTCCACTTGCCAGAAAACTCTGTCTGAAAACAGTTTGTCAAGTGTTAAGAATTCGTAAATAATTTAAAGTTTAAGCAAATTAACTTTAAGTAAATTAGGCCAATAGCCCGTGCTCGTCCTACGTATAGTCCCCCTTTTGTGGCAATGAACTTTTGGTCCCGCACTGGGAATTCGCGCTGAAGTGCAACCCACATTCCTGACCAAATGGAATGGACATTGGAATTTCCTGCCAGACTTAAAAGTGCTGGAATTTCGCCGTTCTTCGGATTCTGAACTGCAGTTTGCTGAGGTGTGATCAAGGGAGTCATTCTCCGGCGATGCCAAGCCGCCCAACCGTCTGGCTTGCTGAGGCCCCTGACTTGGCCGTGCCTTGCCCGTTGCTGTCTGTACAGGGCACGGTCGCTTACCACTATGACGGTCAGATTGACCACTGACTTGGCTGTCCTTGGCTTGGGCCAGAACTACGGTGCCATTCCCGTCTGCTCCATGCCCTTCCGCTATGGCACTTTGTCGACTGGTCAGCTAGCCCAATCGTTCCCCTGACCCGGTCTACACCCGTACCATCCATCACATGAAGCTCCCGGTTTCGGAGGTCGCCGATCAAGACTCAAGTCATGACAAGAACTCTCTCGTGACTTCCGAACTTTGCCGGCAAACTCGAGTCCTGGATTCCACCCTCTGGAGGTACCTCCCCTCTCAGTCTCACCAATGGCCAGCCCACCGTATGAGTTACTTGATCTGTAATGTATAATTAATTGCTATTCCCATCTGCTTATTTTATCTGGTTTATGTGTGTTAATTTGTGAATTGTAAATAATTAATATATTTCAATTTCGTTTTCAAAAACTCCTTGATTCCGATCCTCATTCATTTGAGTGTTCCTTTCCAATAATTTTGGTTTTGTTTGATATGTTGTCTGCTTGGATTTGAAGTGACTTCGTCACACAATGGAGATCACATTTCCATTCTGGCCCACAACCATCCTGTGTCTTTGGTGAGTAGCTCACCTTTGTTGCTTCAGCCAGGGAGACATCTCCCCAATGTTCCGTTGCAGCATCTTGGATAAATTCCTCAGAAACTCCCTGGTGTTGGTCTGTTTGGTGGATAGCTGGTCCTCATACGGCTGGTTCCACAGTGGAGTCACTGTGTTGTTTAACCTGCAGATTGGGAAAGGATGCGAAAACTGCACTCAGTCAGAGTCTTGAAAATTGTTATTATCGTGAATAGTTCAACTGCTATTAGCCTCTAAGTATAAGTTTCGTATGCTGGATACACTTCGTGCATGCAACGGTTTCTCCAAAGTACTGCATGAATTATCATAAGTAATATTTCAATTGAAATGAGCACAAAGCCATGTCTTTACCACTGACAGATATTACAATTTACTGCGAAACCTACATGTACAATACCTTCATGGTTTTATGTATCTTTTAAAGATATCAAGTCAATACTGTTTTTTTTTCCAAGTTTCAATAAAAAGAAAGGATTCAATTTTTAATAGCTAGTTTTCAAGAAATACAAGAGTAATTTACTTTAAACGAAACAAAAAAAAACTAGTCCAAGTTTCATTTTGTAATAAATTTAATAAAATTTCAAGTTTAAACGTGGCCTGACTTTTATACAGTTCTCACGTGGTCGACTGTTTCCCGCCACTATCAGAATTGACAATATAGGGACTAGGAACCAGTCTACCCATCGGGCAAATCATATTGTGTGCAACTGCAAATGCAACAACTTGAGGACCTTTTTTTAAGAGGGTTGCAGACGACCACAATAGCAAAAAGCTGTTGGAAAAAAGTTTGTCTTTTTGTTGTTACCTACAAACGCCTGCATAAATGTACTATGTGAAGTTAGTGATTCAAATCAATTGAAGGGGTTTTAAGTGAATGTCACTTTACATAATCAGTTATATGAACAAAGGATTACACAATGTGCATGTACATATGTATAATCTGGAGCAAATATTACAAACTGAAACAAATTTAATTCTCAGATTTCATGTCAATGACAGTAACAAAACTGAGTTGTCTACTTTGGTTACAGCTACTGCTGTCATGAGATATGTCACGTGCATTAAAATAAGTCTAATAATACGGAAAAATAAAGAGAAAATATGAAGAAAGTTTCTGTTTCAACTGCATATTTCTCAAGGTCTTACATTCCGTGCAAGAATACAACTGGAGTGATCTTGAAATAATTAGGCAGAACACTCTTTGCTGCATCTGAACAAAATGTTGGATATGGAGATCAATGCTACACTGTACATGAACTATGGGTGATGGCTACCAAAACAGCTCCACTCCATCAACTGAAGTACAAAAGCATATTGAGAACTATTACAAGAATCGAGACAGAAGGGATCAAATGGTATGGTTAAGTGCTGAAATCATTGCGCCAATCGGCCTCCTCTTCAACTTTGTCTTTCTCTTCACAGTCATTCGAGTGAAGTCCATGCGTACAATCATCAACATCTACTTATCCAATCTGGCTGTGGCTGACTTGCTCTTCCTTATGACTGACTTTATATTTGCATTGCTTTCACCCATAGAGTACACCTTCTTAGGGCATAAAGCATTCGTAAGTGTCAAATACATGCTTGTTACTGTTTCTAATCTCCTTGTGGTTACCATAGCAGCTGAGAGATTCTCTGCGGTGCGCAATCCTCTGATCTTCAAAGAAAAAGCCTCCAAATCTCGAGCAGCAAAGATATCAGCAGGACTCTGGGTGCCAACAATTATTGTTGCTGTGATTCTGATATTTTTACCAGAGACTGTCTTCAACGGCATCTTTTTTGGGATTTATTTCATTATCAACACTACCTGTTTAATAGCAACTCTTGCTTTGTACGTCTATGTAGTAGTGAAAGTACGCAAGCAATCAGCCCTGTTTCCAAACCGTCCCAAGCGAGCAGGCAAGGTCCTCTGTATGGTTATCATCAATACTGCTATTTTCTTTGCTTTGAACTCACTGCATACTGCAAATGCAATTATTACAATAGTGGCAAGAACTTATTCATTGCCTGCCCAGAATGTTGCCCTTCTAGAACTTGGAGAAATAGTCAATATTCTGGTTATATGCACAGAAATTTTGCAAATTATAAATAGCTCAATCAATTCGTTAGTCTACAGTGCCACAAACGCTGACTATCGTGCAGCTGTAGTCGAGGCTTTCTCATTCCTCAAACTGTTCTGTCGTTGCTGCCCAAGACGGAATCCCAGCCGACCATCGCAGCCAGGGAAGCACATTGAGCTTCATGTGATCATGTGTGTGCCAAGCAGCAGCAAGCCACCAAGCCAAGGGCATGCGCAACACACAGAGAGTCAGCAGTCACTGGAAAGCTGTCAAAAACAATGTTCCAGGCAAAGCAGCAGCAAGGCATCCATGCACAGTCAGCAGCATGTTCAAGTGCACGTTGAGGTACATGCGGAACCAGCAGGGACCCCAGCGCTTGCAAGTTCTCATCAGGAACAATGCTCTAGTCTGACTGACTGCAAGCCATCCATGCAAGGGGAACAGTGTGTACATCCAGAACCAGCAGAGAGCCAGCAGTCACTTGCAAGTACTCAGGAACAATGTCCTGGGCTGACTGGTACTAAGCCATCAGTACAAGGGCAGCAGTATGCACATCCAGATGCAGAAGGGAGTCAATCGCTGGAAAGATGTCAAGAGGAAAATTATCTGGTAACTGAGTGCAAGCCATCCAAGTAAGGGGATAATGCATGGGCACAGTCAGTGTGCTTTTGAACTGGCTGTGTAGTGCTCAAACTGTATAGCATTTTTAAGGCTTTTTTTGTATATTTTCTTCACTGGAATGCCCAGTAGATTTGACATCGAGAAACATTAAACAGCATTATATGCTGGAGTTGAAGTGCTTTACTTTAGCAGATTGCCAATACATGTACGCACCATGACATCAGAAAATGAGCAGGCCCAGAGCAGATTGCAACCAATTATGGGTTATCGAGGGTCCGATGTTTAGGGAGCAAACTCACCGCAAATTCAAAATGTCTTGGGAGGTTTTGGATTTCAATCTTGAAGATCTCTGAGGTGAAGTGCTGTTGCGTCAGATAGTGATAAGTATCAAATGAACAGAATAAAAGACCAACTCCAATGACAGAAGAAAATAAATTAAATTCATTTTTCGAGTTTTATTAAGCACAAGATGAGTTTTCAAGTGAGACATTGCACAACAAAATCAGTCCACAATAACAAACAGATCGATAAATTTTAAATTTTGAATAAGAATTAGCCTTAAAAAGTTCAATAGTCTTAAGGCCAATCAACATTGATTTTTAGGTTTTCATCACTCAAGATTGAAAAAAGAAACTGGTCGGGAGGGGAATTTATATTACATATCGTATAAATTCCACTTCTTCACATTCAAAGTGAATTGAGGGGACAGATATATGGTCAGATATGGTCAGATATATTCATTTGCGGATAATTGAATGGCTGTTTGTTGTTATTAAATACATCAACACGTCGCTCGATTTGTTATGCTGGAGACGTCATATCATTATTAATATTAGTCAGGAACAGCTACAGCTTCAACACGTTAGCGCGTTATATCATCCATAACACCTCAGTATGTCGTGCACAATGTTTGCATGCAAATCAGTGCGACTAAGCCTGTAGATTTGGTGAGAAACTTGTCTGGAAAATACATTTTTTTTTAGGAAAAACACACTTTCAGAAAAAAAGAAAAAAATATAAAAAAAATCGGGAAGGGAGCGAAAATCAAGGCGGGAGGCCCTAAAAATCAATGTTGATGGGCCTAATATACACTGTAATGTAGCCATGAACTTGAGATGGACTCAAGGGTACTACAAATTTGGGTAATTGTAAAATCAATGCTATAAAATATGAATGTTTATGTAAAGTTAGCAGACAAGGTTGTACATATGTATCTTATGAAGCCCGGGAAGGGACAGGGTGGAAATTTTTTTGGAATTTGCTAATTCGTTCACACAAATTCCTAATTTGTTTCCACGAATTCCTAATTCGTTCGCACAAATTTCTTTTTCGTTCCCACGAATTCCTAATTCGTTCCCACGAATTCCTAATTCGTTCCCACGAATTCCTATTTCGTTCGCACAAATTGCCAACTCGTTCGCACGAGTTGGTATTTCGTTCCTCGAATTCCTAATTCGTTCGCACGAATTCTTAATTCGTTCCCACGAATTACTAATTCGTTTGCACAAATTGCTAATTTCGTTGCCTGAATTCCTAATTTGTTCGCACGAATTGCTATTTCGTTCGCACGAATTGCTAACTCATTCGCACGAATTGCTATTTCGTTCCCAAGAATTCTTATTTCGTTCCCACGAATTCCTAATTCGTTTGCACGAATTCCTAATTCGCTCACACGAATTACGGTACCAACTCGTTCCCACGAATTACTAACGCGTTCCCGGATCCACGAGTTTGATGTATGGGGACCCCCCCCCCCCCCCCCCCCCCCCCCCCCCCGTGCACCCCCCAGGACTAATTTTCCCAAACTTTTTTGGGTGCTTTTAGGGTCTTATTTTTTGGGGGTACGTGCCTTTTAGACCATATTTGCGCCCATCCTGGCCGCCATCTAGAATTTGAAGCATTATAGGGTCTAAAACACCATTTTATTTATGCTTTTATCACATTACTTGGCTGATATATGTCTTTTTTCCCCCCAATTTTAACTAACTTTGGCGGCCATATTGGCCGCCATCTTGGATATCTCCTTCTCATCGGATTTGTTTTACTGTTAACATCCAAAATGAGTTTTAGGACCCTAAAAGGCACCCAAAAAATTGGCGAAAGTTAGTTCTAGGGGGTGCACAGGCACAGGGGTCCCCCATACATCTATAACTCGTGGATCCGGGAACGCGTTAGTATTTCTTGGGAACGAGTTTGTAATTTGTGCGAACGAGTTTGTAATTCGTGCGAACGATATAGCAATTCGTGCGAACGAAATAGCAATTCGTGAGAACGAAATAGCAATTCGTGCGAACAAAATAGCAATTCGTGCGAACGAGTAAGTAATTCATGGGAATGATATAGCAATTCGAGCGAACGAATTAGCAATTCGTGAGAACGAAATAGCAATTCAGGGGAACAAATTAGCAATGCGTGTGTACGAAATAGCAATTCGTGCGAACGAATTAGTAATTCGTGGGAACGAAAAAGCAATTCGTGCAACGAGTTAGCAATTTGTGCGAACGAATTATCAATTCGTGCGAACGAAACAGCATTTCGTGCGAACGAATTATCAATTCGTGCGAACGAAATAGCAATTCGTGCGAACGAAATAGCAATTCGTGTGAACGAATTATTAATTCGTGTGAACGAAATAGCAATTCGTGGGAACAAAGAATTAATTTGTGTGAACAAAATAGCAATTCGTGGGAACGAATTAGGAATTTGTGCAAACGAAATAGCAATTCGTGCGAACGAATTAGCAAATTCAAAAAAAAAAAATTCCACCCTGTCCCTATCCAGGCTTCATATCTTAATCTGGATGGTTTCCCAGAAATTACCAGTTTCTACAGTTTATTTAAGCTGCATTTGTAGGCCTATGTTTAAAACAAACACAAATAATAGAGATGCATGTACTCTCATCAGGCTGGTATTTGAGTTCATCTGTCATTCTGATACTAATCAATGCCTTGTAATGTTTTGAAGTGGGTTTTTTTGATGGACTTTGTAATCAATCAAAGAATGAATGATATAAATGGCTTAAGTTTGCGTTCATTCATCACAAATTAACAAGTTTGACAGTTCAACAAAGCTGCTCGAGTATAAATGCCTTTTATATCGAACTGAACCATCAATCCACCAATTAAAACAAAAAGGAAAACAATGAAACTGTTTTGCAGCAAATTTATTTGGCCAAAAGTATCAAATGTTGCAATGAGCAAAACTTGACTAAATCACATAAATGGGATTATACACTTAGCTGACCGGGAAAAATAACAAACGTCTTCAACAAGTAAAAGAATGCAAAATCACCTTTGGATTTGTCCTCCTTATCTTCATTGGGAATAGCATCCATAGTGATGGCCACATCTGTTGGCATCTTGACAACATCACCCTCCCTAACTGTGGTTGACGTTACCTCCCCAGTTGGGACATCATCAGAAGTTGCTCCCTGCTTCTCATCCATTTTGGTGTTATCACGTTGGACCACAAACACACTTGCTGGAAATCAAAAGAAATTGCACATAAGGCCAAAAAAAATTAGTCTCCGGTTTCTGGTATGGAGCTTGTCCAAAAAGTGGTGCGGCGACGCGGCTTTTTTTTTTTTTTACCTGATTTATTTGCCTCAAAATGTAGGCTGATGACTGCAAATGGTGCCCGACTAAACTTAGTGCAAAAATATGGGAGTCCAGAGAGGCCACATAAAGCTTATTCTCGATCATAACCCCATCTAAAAACACGTTAAATTGTGCAGCAGCAGGATTCCAGTCAAACCAGTGAGTTTGGCGGTTTTGAGACATCATCTTTCATTGAAAAATTCATTTTGCCGACGCGCATGGCTACGACGATGCGCGCGCATACCAGAAACCGGAGACTTTTTGTTTTTGGCCTAAAGCAGTTGCATACTTGAAGCCATGACCAGTGAGATATCTAGGGGGAGGGGGTGGCAGGAAGCAACTTACCCCCTCGAACAAATCAAATTTGTTCATTTTTTTTAAATCCAAGAATCCCCAGAGTGATATCAGAGTGCCCTCCACATTAACAAACCGCCTAACAATTCAGATGCAGTCTTTTGAAAAAAAATCCGTTTATGCCCTAACCCTCCCCCCCAAAAGAAAGCCTGGATAGACACTGGTCATGACCATCAAATGACTGACAGTTCTGAACGCAAGACATCTAACGTTAGCAGGCCCTTGCCCGGTTTGTGTACCCAAGAATATCAGAAAGGGTAAAAAATGTACCCTTTTTGATAGTCCCACTAACTGATAGTCCCACTAACTAGTACTACAGACCAACATTCCAAATGTCAAAAAAAGAGTTCTAGCAACCCAGTTAGTGGGACTACCTTTTTGCTATTCTAGGGTAAACAAACCGGGCAATTTGTGCACAAATATAAGTGGAAACAGTAGGCCTAAATACTTTCACTTCTTCTTTTCCATTTCTAACATTTTTCTTTTCACACATTGTTGCATATATTGGTAATTTCAAGTTGAAATTAGTATTAGGCCAGTAAAAATTAATTTTTCAGTTTTCATCACCGCCTGGCCCGATTTTCACGCCGCCCTGATTTTTTTTATATCTCAGATATGCCTATATTTTTTTAAAGTGTGTATTTCCTCCAATAAACTGTATTTTTTCAGACAAATTTCTCACAAATCCTAAGGCGACTCTGTTTTTGCACATATTATAAATGCATGCGGCATGCGTAAGGATTAACAATGCCAATACGATACGCGGGCACAGGTTTCCACTGCTTGACATTCAAACGATAATGAAAGGGGTGGGAGCTAGCCCCATAAATGTGGCCTATTTACTGGACTGCCTCCGTAAACATAGGCCACACATCCACATGTACAAAAATCGTGTCGACTTTGCCAAATTTTGATTTTCACATTAAGGCTTAGTTTGTAGGTTTTTTTGGCTTTAGAAGCATACTCACCCTCTTTATAGGCTAATCAGAAAGTGCTGCCTTTTTCAGATGTATATTTTTCGTGAAATTTCCAGATTCATTTTTACACATTTGCGTATCAAAATTTCAACATGAAATTTCACAAAAATTAGACATCTGAAAAAGGCAGCACTTTCTGACTAGCCTATTAAGTGGGTAAGTATGCTTCTAAAGCAAAAAAATCCTACAAACTAAGCCTAAATGTGAAAATCAAAATTTGGCAAAGTCGACACGATTTTTGTACATGTGGACGTGTGGCCTATGTTTACGGAGGCAGTCCAGTAAATAGGCCACATTTATGGGGCTAGGTGGGAGCCAGCCTGATACAAATGTCCCAATTTCTTTATTTGGATGTGAAATATGACTCACTAGCCTAATAATAATGTACTATAAATTATAAAGTATAAGTTCCCCTCCCAACTGATTTTGTTGTTTTCTGAAAAAAAGGGCGTGGCTTTGCATTATTTCTGGAATCAGAAGGATTCCAGTTAAGTAGCTTTGCATCTCCACAACTTTTCACGAATTACTTAATTAGATGCTGCCCGGCCATGCTTAAAAAATATTGGTAGTGGATATTTTGCCGGAGGTAACGCCAGCAAACTAACGTTTACTAAAGGTTTGCCGGCGGCAATACATATCAACAGAGGGCACTGTACTCTTTAAGATAGGGCTGAATTATAATATGTATTAAATTCCCACCAAAGTTGTGTAGCACAATCGGTGCAGTGGATAAGCAATTGCTCTAGTGACTGAGATGTCCTGAGTTCGAATCCTGGTTCTCGCCATATTTATAAGGTTTTTTTTTCCATCCCCAAATAAATAAGAATATTCTTCTTTTATTTTAACATGTCTCAAACATTTTATTGCAGAGTATTACATTTTCTTTTTCAGATTTGTGGCTCTGGATGATTTTTTTTTAAAGGAAAATAAAGTCCGAAATTATAAAATGGTCTGAATCCCATCTTGTGAATACGAGGTTACAACGATAATATTGGCATGGAGCCAGACTAAAATTTGTCGCCGGAAAATGTTTAAGTAAAAAAAAAACAGTAACTGCATGCGCATGTTCAGTGCATATCCGGCAAACTAACGTTTACTGAAGGTTTGCCGTCTCCGGCAAAATATCCACAGCCAAAAATATTTAAATAGGCCCTAGGCCTATAAGTGCAGTGCCGTGGCATTGTTATTGCAGCATGCACATACGTTTCACCATTCTACCTCCATGGTTTCACTAAATAAAATGATGCAGATTTCACCAAAAGCTAATTAAAACAACCAAATTGATGTTACCATTTAAAAAAAATCGACTGATACTGACGTAAGAAAATGACACTGTCGTCTGTTGAGCCATAGAGCAAGGACAGAAACACGGTTTTTGAAGTCCAGCATTGCATATGCATCATATTATCATGTACTATGCGATACAAGAACCACGTGTTTATGTTGTTGAATGCTGCCCTCATGCGGCGTTCGATTGGCATGCAAGCTCTTTCGAAACCTCGGCCTCCAGCTTCGGCTTCATTATCATGAAAATGATAATTTAACCGGCATCCTTTTTAAACGTGCCGTATGCATCTCCCAAAAGTGCATAAAAATAGTATTTAACATTATCCAAGCCGCATACGCAAAGTCCATGCTATCTATATCTAGTGAATTGTGCGATCACCACGGACATAATGTGGCGATCACGACATTATACTTTATAGGGTGCAGACCAGTAAATCGGTCCGAAATTGCCTACGCCGGTGTGACAGGTAATTCTGTCCCCCTGTAAATTTGTCCGGGGGGACACTTTTACCTAGGTAAATTTGTCCCCCTCCTGATAAAATTGCCCCCCCCCCCCGCCCAACGGTGAAAGTGTGTCCCCCCCCCCCCCCCCCCCCCCGGTAAATGTGTCCCTATGCAATATATACTGAGAGCAGCAGCGTGTCGCGCGTGCCAGTACATGCTGCAAGGTATGTGGCAGTGATTATCACATGTGTACATAAACGTCTCCCTCTACAATGGAAATTCATCCAATAGGAAATTTCAATTAAATCTATTTTTCTATATTTTGAGTAGTTCATCGGAAACGAGGTTGTTCTTTTTCTTCACTTGTGCAGCATCCGTGTTGATGCGTTGTTGAGACCACTATTTATGTGGCGCGCCCTCTATTATAGTGGTCTCGATCTCCACCACCAAACCCGATTTCGGGCCAACAACTCCAGAAATACACCTTACGTTAAAATGAATTTTCGTATACTCATTTGTCATGATGTTTGGCATCAAAAGATTTAATTTCAGAAAAAAAACGTCAATTAATCAAGCTATTATGACCGTAACAATACAGGATTTTATTTGCAACAAATACAATCCTAATGGAAGTCAACATGGATTTTTAAGGTTTAAAACACTAGATTGTTACGATCATATTATATTTATAGCTCGACGGTTCCTCACGCCATTCAAACTACTCATGCTACACATCGTAAAAACTAATTGCACGAAATTTCAATTTAATCCATTTTGTATTTCTTGAGTAGTTCATCGGAAACGAGGTTGTTCTTTTTCTTCACTTGTGCAGCATCCGTGTTGATGCGTTAAGACCACTATTTATCTGGCGCGCGCTCTATTATAGTGATCTCGATCTCCACCACCTAACCCGATTTTGGGCCAACAACTCAAGAAATACACCTTACATTAAAATGAATTTCGTTCACTCATTTGTCATGATGTTTGGCATCAAAAGATTTCTTTTCAGAAAAAAGTCAAATAATCAAGCTATTATGACCGTAACAATACAGGATTTTATTTGCAACAAATACAATCCTAATGGAAGTCAACATGGATTTTTAAGGTTTAAAACACTAGATTGTTACGATCATATTATATTTATAGCTCCACGGTTCCTCACGCCATTCAAATTACTCATGCTTCACATCGTGAAAACTAATTGCACAAAATTTCAATTTAATCCATTTTGTATTTCTTGAGTAGTTCATCGGAAACGAGGATGTTCTTTTTCTTCACTTGTGCAGCATCCGTGTTGATGCGTTGTTGAGACCACTATTTATGTGGCGCGCCCTCTATTATAGTGGTCTCGATCTCCACCACCAAACCCGATTTCGGGCCAACAACTCAAGAAATACACGTTACATTAAAATGAATTTTCGAACACTCATTTGTCATCCAATGGGAAATGTCGTTACGCGCTATGATGGCAACACAGACCAATCCAAGTAGGCGTTGTATCAATGAGACGAGGGCCATCGCCATGCATCGCTGCTGTATTGACCTATCGCGGTAGAATCGCGATAGATTTCACCGCACTCCAAATCGAAACATTGTGTTCACATATCATCTATTAGACCAAATCAAATATTTTTATATTCATGAAGGGCAGACTAAAAGTCTAAAATGTATACCTTGTAGAGTGAATTCATAAAAACAATAAAGAGAACTGGCCTTCCGGGTTTCAAAAGAGGGGGACAAAAAACCCTGGGGGAAGTTACCTAGAGGGGGACAGAATTAACTAGTCT